TCTTCTGTCAGGATGGAGAAGTGAGCTGGAGCCTTAACAGGAAAAAGAGTTCTCATTTATCATCTCCCAGTAAATCTAACCTTTGCTTGTGAAGCTAAACCTAATTTTTCCTGACAGCCAGCCTGCTGCAAAACAGGCTGCTGCAGTCTTGTAAAATAACAAGAAATAAAGACTGAGCCTGGTTGAGCGTTGTTCCCATTCTTAGCCTGCTTCGGCACAGCTGTGTGAAAAAGAAAAAAAGATTTACTTGGATTCTGTAGTGGATGTTTCCTACAATGAAACACATGTACACATACTAGCCACACCAGTTTTCTTTGATGCCTTTTCTTATTTGATTCAGTAAAAATATTTCACTTTTTTTCTTTTTCAGTGACTTGGAGTAAATTGGTTTGCTGGGGTGTTTTTTTCTTTCTTTTTTTTTTCCTCCTTTATTGTCAGTTCATCAGGGTCTTAGCCAAGTTGTGACTTTATTTTACCCTGTATTTTCCTCACTTTTTTTCGTCCCTGAAAAGCTTTGTTAGCAGCATACGTTGTTACCAGAAGTCTACTTAAAAAACAAAACAAAACAAAAGTGTTGTAAGGTGGTACTAGTGCCATTTGTAGTAAAGGTATACAAAGTAGAATCTGCCTCGTTCCCTGTTTGCCTGTTGTTTCCCAGTTGGTGAGAGATTTAACAGGAGCAACTGAAACAGTGACTGTTGTAGCTGTCATCCACACACACCCCACAGAGGATCCTGCTCCAACAGCAGTAGTGCTCTCATGAGATTTGTGCTTGAGCTGATGCGTTTTCAGCCCATTGTGCTGATGTCAGCCAGCGCTGACTTCACTTTAACATAGCAGGTTAATGTGCCTGGGATAGCTCCGGAGCAGATAGGCTTCCCAAGCAGCCATCCTTGTGTGAGGGTGATAAAACCTCTGGCAAGGGCCCTTAATGTTGGTAACTTTTTGGCTAGTGTAGTTAGGCGATTGCTGCAGTCACAAGACTGAACATATCACGCAGATGAACTGTAATACAAAGATGCCATTTAACACTCTTTGGTTACTCCCCAGAGGAAAACTACCAATCAGATAGAAATATTCTATCCTGCAACCAAATATGGGAAAGAAGAACAGGACTTGCTGCAGACGGTCATGGATGAAGTAAAAAAGGTCAGGGCAGTCCAGATGTCAGGGACATCAATTTTTAACAGGAGGCCAGAGGCAAGCCATCAAGGTATTCAGACTTTTTAAATGGTTCTGTTACTGGTTTTGCATACAGTTATTTCCACTAATAGCGGTGAAGAAAAATCCCCCTTTGTGTATCAAGTTTTCATTTTTATTTTACCTTACTATTCTACTTATTACTAAAGGCATGACTTGCTTACTCGCTGCTGAAGGTTGCTAATAGTTACTAGGATTACTCTCGTAAGTTGTTAGAACAGTAGTGCCTGTGGACTGTTTTCTCTTTAACCTTTGTAAAAACAAAAAAAAATAGCAGAACTGATGTGACTTACTGTTGGCTTTTTTTTGTTTGTTTGATTGAAATTTGAATCTGTATAATACCTCCTAAATTGTACTGGCCTTTAGAGAAGGGGACAATACTTTCCTTAGCTGTTCAAATGTTAGAAGTTGGAAGTTTTACACATGGGGTGAGTAATACCTGCTTAGTGTTCAGATCTTTGATTTGTTTAACTTAAAAATAGAAGGCTCTAAGTACTCCTGAATGGTGGAAGAATACAAAGTACTATCAGATGGGCTTCTCATCTGCTTCTTCTAAAATCTGGTTCCAATTTTATATGACATAATGTGAGCTTCTTTATAATCAATAGCAAAGCAGCTGTCCAGGAGGAGATGGGATGAGCTTTTACAAAATTTGCACTCTTACTTTAAAACAGTGCTCATCTGTTACCAAGCAAGTCACTGCTAAAACTGTTAATCTGTTTTGTTGTTTTTAAGGTAGTATGGAGCATCAACATAAAAGTATGCAATTAATTTTAAATTGCTTTGTTTACAATCCCTCCATATTAAAGAATAACATAATATAGGAATTTACTTGAAATTCAAGGACGGGAAAAACCTCGCCGTCTTCAATATACTTGTTGGTATGTAGTAAGACAGCTGAAAGCTGCCATGTTGTTTATATGTTCCATCAGAAACTGATTTTGTTTGAAATAATAGGTATTTAATCTGATTTTATTTAACGAATATTTTATGTATAACTTCTATGCTCGTATAGACTGAAACTGCAAGCAGAAAATATCTTGCGCCAGCATTTTCTGCTGTTGTTTTGAAGAGGAAACTTTCACTAATGGAATAACTGTGGCAATAAAGTAAAATCAATGGGAACACATACCTAGAACAACTTCTTAGCAATTGACATCAATAGTTTTAGGAATTCTGGAATAAATTTACAGATTTGGGATTTTCCAAAGTACAGCACTTAAATCTTTGTTGCCTTAAGAGACTGTTACTGATGCAAACAAAAAACGTGTTCTGAGTATTTCTACTTAGATAATTGCCAAGCTTTGAGAGTACTGTATCATAGTTCAAAGTCTGCTTATAGTTGCAAATAGCTACCGAAAGACTTTCTAGCGATATCTATAGTTAGCCTTTTTAAATTCACTGTACAGCAGATGGCACTGGAAGAGTGCGTCTGTGGGAGACCTCAGTGATACCATAATTCCTACAGAATACTAGTGAAGCTGTTGCAGTGGTGAGAGTTGTGATGAAATTCAGCAGCTAATTTTAGTATATTCCAGGAAGAAATGCATGCTTAGCTGTTCTTTTTCAGCTCTTCTAGATGTAGACAGTGAATAACTTTACTCCTGCAAGTGTATGAATAAATCTTATATTGAGGGCTGTTTATAAAGGGCTTTTCAAGTGCATGAATATGTAGTGCAGAATTATTGGTATTTCTTAAAGTTATGCGAAGAAGGAAGCGTATCTGGATCAATGAGGGTATTTGACTTCCAGATATTTTTGCTTTCTCCTGTCTTAGATAACAAAATCCTGAGGGATGTCGCAACATAGAATGGTTTTCATACGGAGGACTTGGTTGGAGGCTTGGTCTAATCTGTGGGTGTCTTCAGTTTACTGCAGTGAGTTTTGACCAGGACGGTCAATCATGAGACGTTATTGTCTTTTCCTGGATGAATGAACTGCGCTTCTGGATATATGTAGGTTCTTTCTGTGGCAGATGCAGTTTACTTGAACTTCAAGCCCATATTCTTTATATGAAATATAATAAGAATACAAGTAGTGATTCATGCATATGGATAGTTTTTTGCTTGATAAAGATATTGGCTACTAAGGTGGGCTGACAGATGTAGAACACTTGTGCTCAGGCATGCTCAGTGATTGCTCTCAAAGTACAAAATGTCAACTTTTCTCTGCTACCATAGAGATTTATCTCTTGAGACTATTTTTAGATACTTGATTTTTCAATTGTAAAAACACATTTTGATACAGAAAAGCTAGTACGTGATAAAAATCTGTTCTTTGAAGTGGTTCGCTTAGTTCTTTTAGTTATGGAGAAGCTAAAGAAAGATAGCTCCTTCAGCCAAATTTTAGCTAATTCTAATTCTTCTGACGCCCACCAATTAGAAAAAAAACAAAATGAATCAGACACTTTGGGGATCTGTGCATTCAACTGTGTGATAGTGTTCTCTTTTATTTCGTCCCGAGTTCATAAGGGAGATTTTGCTTTGTTTTGTGCTTGTTATTATAGGATTTGGAACTGCAAGCAGTATGATGTACATCTTGCAAGGATGAGGGGGAACATATTTGGGAAGATGGAAAAAATAGCAGCTCATGGACATTAGTCAAAACCAGTTTGAGAATGTTGTGGGTTTCACAAGTAGGGGCTAATGTGAGTGTTCTGAGGCGTCTGGTGTTAGATACATGGGCACAGTTAAATTTACCAAATGAGCAAATGCTCTGATTTATTCTGGTTAGGAACCACCTAAAATCATGAAGGTATCTTTTTCACTCTTTTCATAGGCTCATTTTGTTACATTTGATGAAAAGAGGTCTGTAAATTGGTTAGTTGTCATAATCTAAACGATTAGGAGCAGAACGCCAATGAAGCATTTTGAGCCTACTTTTAATTGATGCGTAGCTTTCCCATTTTCTATATTTGTGGCTTTTTCTTAATTACTGACCTTGGTCAGTTGTTCTGATACCCCAGACTTTAGGCATATAAAACCCTTGAAGTGTTTAGTGTATTCTACTCATGATCTTTTTTCAGTTTTTCCATAATTCCTAATTCTTTCAAAACATTTAAAGCTCCTATTAAATGTAAGCATTTTAAAAAAAATGAAATTTGATGGTTTTGCATATATCTATCTTAACAAACAAATAAACGAGTAGAGTCTTGGTCTTTGAAAGTACTCCTATCCTCTTCAAATTTTGTAAGGGAATTAAATTTTTCTGAAGTATCAGACTTGTTAAAACTCAGCAATGCCCAAAATAAGATAATAAACTACTAGTTCTGTTTTTCCAAGGTTTAAATACTTGTTTATAGTAGGGGATTATTCTTAGGCATTTTTTTTAGGGAAATAAGGCTTTTTGGTCGCATGTGTTTGAAAATGCTTTGAAAGACACACAGTTTTTGCTAGTGTCATGAGAATGAGTTTATAGGCAGAAGACAAATCTGTAAGTCTCTCCCCTTTGAGAGAAAGGAGAGCAGAGACTAAGTGCTATTTAGTTTGTTAATCAAGAAAAGGAAGTGGGAAGAACTGAAGATATTTTAAAGATGGACTTGGAGAACGTTGGAGGGTATGGCGAAGGCAGAAGAGGTCCCTGAGGTATTGCAATGTGGATAGCGTGGGGAATTGAAAGAAGAGAGAGAGAACGAGGGAAAAAATCCATAGTAAATCAAGCTTTGGGATTCTGCTGCTTATAAGAATACTATTTCCCCTGCTGCCCCAGCAGCAGGGCTTCACTTCAAAATTTTTGAGGTAGATTAGGTTTTGAACAGTTCCTTGCACTGTTTTTTAGATAGCTTTAGATAAGATCCTTTTACCTTTGTGTTCTTTAGGAAGTTCTTAGTGTTTATACCATTGAAGTAGGGCTGGATGAAAATAATGGTCAATGAACTGCTGTTTGACTACAGTAATGGTTATCCTTTCATTCTTTTACATTATTACATAGTGTATAGTTGATGCAACTTATTTCTGTTCATTGTCTGTTTTTATCAGTTGCAAGTATTGTGATCTAATGGTAGAAAAGTGGGAAAAGCATGTGTAAAGGTTGTTCTGCCTCTCCCATGGTCATCCAAACTGGAAAGACTTCTTGAAAGGTTGATCTTAGTCTCCTCCAGCTTGCCGTATTCAGCACAGAGCCAGGCTTGCTTTTGCAGTTTGTCTTAACTAACGCGGTATGTAATTGGAAGTACGTGGAACTGCCTTTAGTAGTAGCCATTACTCCTTGGAAGCAACAGAAACAGCCAGGCAATCTAACTCCCTCTGCTCTTCCACTTCTTGTTCTTCCCCTGTCTGCAGAGCTGCCTTGCTTTGGAAACTTAAACAGACATCAAAGAAAAACGAATTGAAAAGTCAAATTTGGGAGGAAGGAACAGGCAACATGACTCTGGAAGATGCCAGGTTGGAGCAGTCAACTGGGACTTAGGTAGATGTGTCCACTTAGTCCTGGCAGAAGTGCTGGAGGAAGAAAGGCACTACTGCTAGGCGGGAGTGCGTGTGATCTGACCTCCTTCATGCCTAAAACAGAGTTTGGAAATCTTTCATCTCTTCTTTCATAGAAACTTGTGAAGAGATTCCAATGATTTGCTCTAAATAAATGCTATTTTGCGTCAGCTTAACTCGAGGGCCCAGCTTAACTCGAAGGCCTGGCTTAACTCAATTTATTTAATTACAATTAATTTCCCTATAATTATATGATTATCGATTACTGTTCATTTTTCCTGTGCAAACAAAGTGTGACCGTGTAAGACCATCTTGTTAGGACTAATCACACCATTGGTGTGATCGAACCTGGGTATATGAATCCTGTTGGATATAATATCTTCTGTAGTTTTATCTTCTATAGTTATTTTTGTGTTTCTTTTACAAGATGCCTACTGAAAGAGAGAGGGGTGTTTCAGTGTTTGAAACCTTTATATGCATGCATTTGCCTCTGTGTGTGTGTATGTGTATATATATATCATATATATGTGTATGCATACATATATATGTGATATATTTATACGTAAACTAGGATTGTGAGCGCAGAAAAAGACTAGTGATCTTCAAGACAGATGCAGAAGACTGACTTTTTTTTTTTTTTTTTAAATCTTGATTGGTTTCCGAGTCAGCTCTTATATTTACTTTTATATGATGCCCATTATTTAAGTACTACAATTTCTGTTTTGTTTTGGGGAGGGAGCTTATCGATAATTTTTGCTGTTTCCTTTGTGAAGTTAATTATTTTTTATTTGTTTCCAGGAAATGGCTCCTGAAGTTAAATGAGGCTGGATAAAACACGTAAATGAAGCAGAAGCTGCTCTGCATGTGTTAGGGCTGTATCTCTAGAAGCACTGCTGATCAACCAGACTTGGTAACTTGTCATAATGAAGAAAATTAGTCTCAAAACAATTCGCAAGTCCTTTAACTTAAATAAAAGAAAAGATGAAAGTGACTTTGGAGGCTGGATAAAACACGTAAATGAAGCAGAAGCTGCTCTGCATGTGTTAGGGCTGTATCTCTAGAAGCACTGCTGATCAACCAGACTTGGTAACTTGTCATAATGAAGAAAATTAGTCTCAAAACAATTCGCAAGTCCTTTAACTTAAATAAAAGCAAAGATGAAAGTGACTTTGAAGAGGATCAGCAGCCGTCATTAAGTGAATTTGGAAAAGATGACTCCTTGTTTGGCAGCTGCTATGGTAAAGATTTGGCTAGCTGTGAAGTCAATAGTGAAGATGAAAAAGGAGGCAAAAATAGATCAAAAAGTGAAAGCTTAATGGGTACGTTAAAAAGGAGGCTTTCAGCAAAACAGAAGCAGAAGGGCAAAGGCAGCACACCATCTGTAAGCTCTGCAGATGATGACACCTTTTCTTCATCTTCTGCTCCAATAACCTTCAAAGATGTGCGAGCTCAAAGATCTCTAAGATCCACTTCCCTCCGTAATCACCATTATAGTCCAACTCCATGGCCCCTTCGACCTACAAATTCAGAAGAGACTTGTATCAAAATGGAAGTGAAAGTCAAGGCCTTGGTCCACTCCTCTAATCCAAGCCCAGCACTGAATGGTGTTCGAAAGGACTTCCATGACTTGCAGTCAGATAACGTGTTCCAGGAACAAAATAATGCATTAAAAAATACAGAATCTCAGAATGGGGACTTACATCTTCGTATTGACGAACATGTGCCTGTAGTTATTGGATTAATGCCTCAGGACTACATTCAGTATACTGTGCCTTTAGATGAGGGAATGTATCCTTTGGAAGGATCACGTAGTTACTGTCTGGATAGTTCCTCACCCATGGAAGTTTCAACTGTTTCGTCTCAAGTGGGGGGAAATGCTTTCCATGAAGAAGAGAGTCAAGTGGATCAGGATGTAGTTGTTGCATCAGATATCTTTGTGGACCCGGCGGTGAACGGTTTGTTGATTGGTACCACAGGAGTCATGTTGCAAAGCCCAAGAGTTAATCACAGTGATGTCCCTCCACTCTCACCTTTGCTACCTCCAATGCAGAATAATCAAATCCAAAGGAGCTTTAATGGATTGAATGGCACAGATGCGCACGTGGCTGAAAGTATGCGCTGCCATTTGAATTTTGATCCTAACACAGCCCCAGGAGTTGGAAGAGTTTATGATTCTGTACAGAGCAGTGGTCCCATGGTTGTGACAAGTCTCACAGAAGAACTGAAAAAACTTGCAAAACAAGGATGGTACTGGGGCCCAATTACACGTTGGGAGGCAGAGGGAAAACTAGCAAATGTGCCTGATGGCTCGTTTCTCGTTCGAGATAGTTCTGATGATCGTTACCTGTTAAGTTTGAGTTTTCGTTCCCATGGAAAAACACTTCACACTAGAATTGAACATTCAAATGGTAGGTTTAGCTTTTACGAACAACCAGATGTGGAGGGGCATACATCTATAGTTGATTTAATTGAACATTCAATCAGGGACTCTGAAAATGGAGCTTTCTGCTATTCAAGATCCCGATTGCCTGGATCTGCAACTTATCCAGTGAGACTGACAAATCCAGTATCTCGATTTATGCAGGTGCGTTCCTTACAGTACCTGTGTCGTTTTGTAATACGTCAGTATACCAGAATAGACCTGATTCAGAAACTGCCTTTGCCAAACAAAATGAAGGATTATTTACAGGAAAAGCACTACTGAAAGCTTATGGGAATCTTGCATCTTGCACTTTGGGAACAACAACAACAAAAAGAGATTGAATTACAGTTTACAGACTTTCATTATTATCAAAATCTTTTGCTGCCATAACAATATTTCATTTTTGTGTGTAAAAGAAAAGTAATGCATTTGGTTTTTTGTTTGTTTTGGGGTTTTTTTTGTGTATTTTGGGGGGCTTTTTTTGAAAAGAATGATCTCAAGTTTATTTTTAGAAGTGTGAAATAGCTATCTTTCATCAATGTGCAGATTAATCACAATGTGAATGATCAAATTCTCCTTTAATTTCCCCCAAGTCCTTTGCTGCTATCCACTGTGATTTTTATGCATTGAAAGCACATTTCATGTGTATTCAACCATAAGTAAAGTCAAATGAAACTTGTTGAATGGAATTTTTTTTCTTTAAAATAGCCTATTTGAAAAAGATGATCGTGAATGGAAACATATTGGTATTCTAAATCACAGAATTTGCATATATGTTAAAAATTATTTCCTTGCATCTGAATTACAACTTTTTATAGAAATATGCCCTAATGTAGAACTTATAGACAGAGCTGTGTGATAAGAACATGGTTATGCAGCATATCTTTGGAAAAAACCTTCCTCCTAAACCTTGCATTGTCTGTACACTATTTTATGTTTAAGGAAGTGGGTTCAGCTTTCTTCTTGTCTCAGCATTTTGTCCTTCTAAAAATGGCCTTTTAAAAAAAGTCTTTGAAAGTCAATGCATAGTACCTATATGGAAGTTGCAGTATTGAGAGATCATGAAAAACATTTTAAAATCATGGCATCAGTTAAATAAATGAACACCTACCAGCTCCTCTCTTTCCTGACCTTCCCCCTCTTACCTCACCCTGAAAAAAAAATTACATGGATTAGTAGGAAGACTCTAGGGATCCTTATTATGGGAACATAAGTTGACAAGCAATTTTAGAGATGTGGTAAAACTTCTAATAGCTTCCCTTCCTCCAGGATGATTTCTACAATATATATTTAAACTGTGTGGAATTGTAACATTTTCCCTTTTTCTGCATTTTCACTTCTGAAATTCAGTAATACACTAAGGTCCTTTGAATCTCTTTTTCTTTCCCTTTTTGCCCTTCTCTGGGGAGGGAGGAACGGGACTGATGATAATTTGGATGGAAGATGCTTAAAATGTTATCTCTAAAGCTCCATTTTCATAGCTTGTGAAATTACAGGGGAAAAGGAGTTTGGATTTTAATATACATTGACCACAGAAAATGTTTGAGTTAACTGTCATGGAGTATGTTTTGACATGTGAAATACTGAATCAATTAAGTAAATGTTTCTGATATCCATCAAAGATTCTGGCATTTGAAAAGCTTAATGTTATTCTGACCCTTTTTTTTAGGGAAAAAATGACGTTTAAGTTGGGAGTACAACTTCTACATTGTAACATTTTCTTCATGCAAGGTTAATCCATGGCATATTCCTGTTTTGTTTTGTTTGTTTTCCCCCATGGTCTATCACTTCTATGAGTTATTCGTTAAAGGGGTCTTGGCTAACTCCGGAAGGAGGCCTACTTTGTCCTCTCTCCCCAACGCCCTCTTTCCCCCTCCCGCGCGCCCCCCACCCCCCCCCCCTTTTATATTTGAGAATGTTATCTTCCCCATCATTGGTAGGAGTTGCTGGTCAGTAAAGATCAGCTGAGAAGGAGGCTGTTAATCTTTGATACAGCTTTCTTTTTTAGGTCATTTTCTTCTTGTTTGATCTAGCCTTTTGTCCCCTGAAATGAGTCTTTAGTAATGAATACAGTATTGCTGCAAGGTGGTGCAGTAGCACTACATCTTGGGTTGCCTGAACTGATAGACTAAATTTATATTTTTTTAATTTATTTTTTGACCATAATGTTTAACAAAAAAAAAGAAAAAAAAAAGAAAGGTAGATAACGGCTGCCTTTACTTTTGAGGGAGAGAATAAAGATTTCTTCTTTAGTCTGATAAAGTTTTAAACTTAAAAATCTAGAGCAGTCTATATGCCTGATATGTTGGCTCTGCCATCGAGATATATGTATGCAAGTGTGAATTCTGTTTCCTTTTTTCCTGTACTGACTTTCTTCCTCCGCTCTGAATCAGGATCACTAACTTGATTCAAAAAAAAAAAGGCACAATAACCTATTGCATGGTACAATGTTCTGATTCTGTCTGTGGGGGTGGGGGAAGAAAGTCATTTTTATGAATTTCAGACACATACTTTTTAGAAGAAAACCTCTGGCATTTTCTTCACTTTAAAAATTCTTTCCCTGTACAAGCTAGAGGTCTATGCATTCTACAGAATCTTTGAAAGATTATAGTATGTTAAATATTTTCTCTGCCATTTAATACCACTATTGAATGCATTAAACATATGTTTATATTATGCCACATGCATTAATCTAGCAGTCATTGCATTGAAACGTAAATATTTGAAGCTATGATATCCCAGTTTTATTGCTGAATTGAAAAGGTGTAAGAACACGCGTGCTAAATTTCTTGCCCATGCTTTATAAATTTCAGTTTGCTCACTCATACATGTTGATGCTTTGGTTCAGCTATCCAATTTTTGAGTTGCCTTCCTCACTGTGTTCTTGATTTGTTAACTTAATCAGATCAAGTTATCATTGTTACTTTTGTTTCCCCATAAAGCATCTGCAGACGGAACACTTTCAAGTAGTTGAGGCCTAAGATGTGAGAACCATATGGCACTTTCTTTCTAAATAAAAAATGGTGATGATATTCCTGCTAAACTCAAAATACTTTAAATCCACTAGTAAGTAAACACAATTTTTTTTTGTTTTTGTTTTTACAAATTTCATTATTCTGAACCTTTTTTTCCTTCTGGGATAACTCTCCTGCCAGGAGAAGGAACACAGAAGAATGACTTTGAAAGCATTAAGGATACTTACAATTTCCTATAGTAAAGATTAATAAAAAAAAATCACAGTAATACTTAGTTATGGGAATATAGAAGTATTCAGAGTAACCACAAAAATTGTTTTGACTTCTGCTTCATAAAAATTAGACGAACAAAGTGTCCTTGACAAACAGAAGGAAAATGATTGAGGATATTTTGCATACCTTTAGAGACAGATTCACTAACACTAAAGCCTAACTGACTGTGATCATTGTAAGAGTAGAAAAATGCCTATTTATTCAGCACAACAGTCTAAAGGTTCAAAAGTTATACTTTTAATGCAACTGAATTATGGAAAAATGTTTTGGAATGTGAAACTTTGAAATAAAACTGGTGGGGGTGTTTTGAGCTTATGAAATGACTGAAGTTAGTGATGATATTGGCTGTTCTACCATTTCCAAGGTTTTGTTTTACTCTTCTATTTAGATACAGAAAAATAAATTTGCACTTTTTTTTTTTTTTTTGGTAAACCAGTGTTATAAACAACTGAAAGTGATTTGTATTCTTTGATCTATTTGAAGGATATAGCACTTACCCTGCTGTTGACATAGTGAATGCCATCTTTTTATCAAAATCTTTTTCTCTTAGAAGGATGAGAACTGCAAAGCTCATCTCAAATGAGCTGACTTTACATCTTGTTACAGCCAATTTCTTTCTATAAATATTGACTGCTGGGCTAAGTGAAATATGTGCTGTTTTTCTTGTGATGCATTTCATCTAAATGAATACCAGAATTATAAATTTAAAACAGTATACCAGCAATATATGGGCTATGAGTCTAATGAGAAATATTTCTCCGTTACTGAACTTTCAAATTCTGAAATAAGCTATGGATATAAGTGATTACCTATTTAATTTCTTTAATCTTTTTACAACTACAAAGAATAAAAATTACAGGCATTCTTTATAAATAAAAAATGGGCTAAGCGGTAGTTCATAAAATGAGAAATATGGCATTACTGTATCTGCAAAGTGTTCTAAATTCTACACAGAGATAAGGAAAAATTCTTAGAGAATTTTGTATGAATATGTGTTGGCTTAAAGAATTTTTATAGTGATGATGGAGTGCCATGAAGTTAATACTTGCAATCCAGATTGCTGTAGTTTACACTTTTCTCTGTTTCAGACCTGGTGTGCACTCTTTGTACTAAGCACACCACAGGGTGAATTATCCAAAGTCCATTGATTTTAATGTGTTTTGGTTTGTAAACAAAATTATAGTAATTTCTTGCACATTTTTGAAAAATAATTGTATAAGGATTTATGTATCTGCTTCTGGATACAGTGTGTAAATAAAAATTTCATTCACAAAAAGATTTGTGGAGTATTCTATACTTTAATGAAGAACAAAAAGCAAAAGACTTTGTAGGATTTGGGCATTTGACTTATGCATTTATATTTTAGTGATTATAATTAGAACTATGCTATATTTCTTTTCCACCAAGCTATTTGTATATACTGATTTTTTTCATTCCTACTTTTCAAAGCAAGATGAAAAATTGTCAGAACATAATTAGAATGCAATTTTTAGAAGATCTGCACACGTACTGTAGGTTAACTTTCTGCTAAGTTTCCTTGTATTTTTTGATTAAAACAAAACAAAAAACCCCACCAGTCTCCCTTATTATACATTCTCCTGGGCTCCAAGCTAGCAAGTAGTTCTTATCTAGTTCCAAAATAAAAGGTAATACACAGTGTTGCTCTCCATATATTCACTTGATACTACCCTAGATTCAATTTCAGGAGGAATGACATCTTAAACTCTGGGAATTCGTACAAATAGATGATCAAGGATAAACAGTTTGTATGTTAGAAAACATGAGCAGGTGTTCATGTGTCTTTATCTACTGTTGACTTAGTAGACTCGTTATTCAAATCCCAGAGAATACCACTTGCTCCTTAGCTTTTAGTTGTAACCATGTAAAAGAAAATCTGAAGTAGTAGCAAGTAATTATTGTCCACTACTGACATGTACTGTGTTATGTATTTTGCAAATTAAGTCCTAAAACAGCAACCAAAAGTAATTCATAGGTTTTGGTATTTTTAGAGAAAACTGGTCTCTTTTAATTATTGGATTGATACTAATCTAAATATATGCCAATGCAATTGTTGAGTCAGCTGCTATTTGTATTCCTACTGATGGGACTAGTATTAAGAACTCAACATGACGTGTGATTGCTACTTCCTTACATAGGTAAGGTTTGCTGGGATTTTGTGTTGTTAAGTCTGCATTTATGCTCTTCAAGTTCCGTTAACTCCTGTAAGTCTGGTGCAAAAGAAACCTATCCCCAAATGTTTCATTGATAAATAGTGAAAGTTAGTAGGAGCTGATGTTACAGCTGCCTAGCTTGATTCAAAAGGATTTGAAATGTTTGCCACCACGTGCCTGTAATCCTAATTATTTGTACCTCACATTTCATCTGCTTCATAGTTGTGAGAGTAGAAGAGAAAACCTAAGGCGCTATCACATACCAAAAACTTGCTGTATGTCTGGTCTGTAACATTTGTACCAAGATAGAAAGGCAGGAGTTATGGGGCATGGTGAAGTCATTCCTGCAATTAAGACCTCAGAGACTGCAAAGCTGTAAGGTAAGATCTAGTAGAAATTCTTAATATTTAGGAAACAGTGTTCTATTACTTCCCTCCAACGCATAGACTTTGCTTGCATTCTTTACCTCACATGTTTTCCTGTAAACACTAAGGTTCAGCCAAGCATCTTGGGATCTCTTGTCACATTAATACACACATCTTTGTCTTTTCTGATAAGCAAATTTCTGCTATTTCCGGTCAAAGCCATGTAAAGCAGGAATAGGATATTGTAGAGAGCAGAAAAATTAAAAACTTATTTTAATTTTGAGGGATGACTTGGAAATAGGAAGTGTTCTTCCTGCTGAGCTTGGGATCTGTGATTCTCTTAGGCGAACTTGCCACGTGTTGTCAGTAAACTCTACTGAATTACTTGAAATGCAAGCTTTGAAGACAGTGCTGCTTCTGAGGGTTTGAGATGGGCAGGGCGCCAGCCCGTACAGAACAGGCTTAAAAAAGTGTTTCTTACACAAAATGAGGAAGGAAAGGTAAATGAAACTTGCTTCAGTAGGTCAGAACA